AGAACTGCACTAGAGAGATGACAGACGCTGTCTGAAAGCCGAGTTCTTCGCTGCTCACTCTGCCGGCAACAGCCGTTGTTACAGCACAGTCGAACGAGTTTCAACGCTTCAGGCACTGCAACCGATAACGACGACATCTTTCAAATCAGTTGCGCGCGAATTGTAGGGGCGAGACTTGCTTGATGAGCCCTACGACAGGATGATCGGAATTTCCCTGGAAACTCTTGGGGGTGATGTTGTGGTGGCGTCTCTTGTTTTGCTTTGCATTGTGTGGCCATGCGAGCCGTGCGCAAGCTGGATTGGTTCTGGGATGGGTTTCAACAGACTTGGGCTTCAGAACAGCGTCGGTCTCGAAACCCTGCACGATTTTTCGATGGCACGGTATGGAGCGAGAACAGAGGCCGAGCCACGGCAGCAGAATCAAAATCCGCACTCATCTATTCTAACGCTTTTATGATGCTCATTCCGCTATGGGTAAGCGAGCTTGACGATGTCGACTGCAAACATGTCACTGTGAGGCTGGCTCACAGCGCTGCCCTTACGTAACCTATGCAAACCACACGCGCGCACACTCACACACACATGCAGACGAATTATATGCATATATATATATATGTATATATATATATGTGGGTATATATATATACATAGATGTATATATGTATGTATGCATGGATGTGTGTATGTATGTACGTGCGCGTGTATTTGTTTTTCGTGCTTCATGCATTTTTTTGTGTATGTATGTATATGTATGTATGTATGGGCGCGCGTTCATCCTCCCACCTGCATTCCTGGGACTTCGCGACTCTTGTCATGCTGACGGGACATGTGTTTGTAACGGCAGAATCCGTTCATAAACATAGCACAACAGTTAGTATAACACTCCCTCAGCACCCACACCTTGACACCGACCCCTAACATTTCAACGACGGCATTTCTTTCTGTTATATCATATTTCCCTCCCCCTCATCGATCGAGTGTCGACAATGAGGAAGGCCTAAAACAACTAATTATAACCAAACCAAGCTGTTATATTCACGAACAATACGGGGTGGACAATGAAGCATACGTGGCCTCCAATTATGTTCATTAAATCAGCCCAATGTGTGTGTAGATCAGGCAGCATGCGTCGAATGTACAGAAAGGTACTCCAAATAATATTCGTCATTAGTTCCCAAGTTAGAATGGTAAATCACTGTCGTTCATTTCGTCAACATCATTGGAGGTTAGTTGTATTTTTAAAAGAAATCTGTTCAAGCCAAGGCATTCACCCAATCCGAGTGGCTACCATACGACGAAACGGCAAGGCAGGTTTTGTGTGAACACCACTGTTTCTAAGCACTTGTGTAAACACCACTGTTTCTAAGCACAGGCTCGTGAAACATGATAATCTTGGATTCGCAAAACCAACATCCCGAACAACCCTATTGAAGCGTCGCGCATCTGCTAGACGAGGCACCTTGCGGGCGAGGCATTCGGGCCCCATGAATGGGTCAGCCAATCATGGAACCCAATGCATCCATTATAACCCATCATAAGCCGTTAATTAACCCATTAATGTTGCACCTGCTTTAGTGTTGCCCCCCCCCCCCCCCCCCCCCCAGAATAGTCGAAGCTGTTTTTGTCCCTGTTTAAATGGTCCGGGGGTTTATATGATTTTAATAGGGCGGAGTTTAAACGGGGCAGCGATGCCCGGCAATTAATTTGAAAGGCGCGACACGTGGAGTTTTCTTACGGCGCCCGGTCGTTTTGACTTAATTCAGGATCCCACCGCGCAGCCCCAAACAGTCAGGGTGTCCTGAATAACCCAGCCAAACGACTTAATAGAGGGGCCCCCACTAAAGCAGGTCCAACATTGACCCATTCCAGGAAAGAATTCATACAGGTCATCGGTAGGTGCCCGAAGAGGCGGGCTTCGGTATATCAGTTGCCTGGAGCGGAGAAACAGTTTCAACTGAATCCAATCTCGTTGGCCAGAATTCAGAGACAAATGTGGCAGCAACATGAAACTGGGACATCTGCGCTCTTAAGCAGTACTGTCCAGAATCAAGCAAGAGCAAGAGACGGTAAGAGCCTGGACAGCATTCATGTCGCTGCAAGGTAAAATGAAAGTGGAACATGTCTTTTCCTCGTCCTTCGAAGGGAGAGGCCGTAGAGTCCGTAGAGGTGAGAGGCCTTTCCTGGACCAATGGGGGGGTTGAGGCGAGTGGCCAAAACCATCAAAAGACTACCTCTTGTACCAATAGCTGTGCACTCGCCATACAACCCTTCCAAGACCGCAGGTTGATGATTGGCTGCAGTTGTATATAAGTTGATATATGTTGCCACGGGCAGCACATCACCAGAAGGCACCCTGAGGACCAGAGACGCTACAGGTCTTATGGGGCAAAACTTTACGGTTGAGCGCGGCTTGGCGGGATTGCACCGGTATTGCAACAGTGATTTCAAGATTGATTGCAACAGTAATTGCACCGGTATATCACTTGGGCAGCTGCCGTGATGACTGAAAGTTCACTCAGTCCAGACCCAGCGGTGAAATCTGTTCCATGCCGCCTGCCTCGGCAAAGCTCGACAATTCGGAAAACACTGCTTTTGCCTGCAAGCGCCGGTTTAAACGACAGAACACACATTTTTTTGGGCTGCGTGAAGGAGGCTGACTGATGTCGGCCGTCGCCTTGAAGAGGGAGATAGGGGCGAGTGTTTGCCCTGATGCGTTGCTGGAATCTGAGAATCTCAGGTCATGTCGGATAGCTCTGAGAGCGATCAACCTCTCCGTTTCCACGGCGCACCTTCTTGAAAGCAGTTGTTTCAAGATTGCCGCCTGCAGTGCGCGCTGGTTTTGAAGTTTATGGTGTCCAGTCGCTTGCCGCTAGGAGTCCGGTGCAAGTAGCTCCAGTTGAAGGATATGGTTCTTTCTCATGTGCTTCATGACAAGGATTACCTCCACCTCAAGTGGGAAGTGGCTGCGAAGACTTTCCTGGCTGAATGGGTTATTTTTCGTCTGCCTGACCTCAGCTCAACTCTCGAGCGGCCACAGAGCCGATGCATCTGCGTTGCTGATGGCGTTGCTGATGGTGTTGCCGCTGATGCAGATTTTGGCTTGCTCTGTGAGCTCATGCATAGGAGATGGGGTGCTGTGCTGACCAGCCGGGCAAAAGGGCGGAGAAGCTGGTAGACAAAAGGAGAGACAGGTCTCTTGCTTCTGGTGTTTGGAGGTGTGGTGTGAAACTGATCTGAGAATGAGGCAAATTGTTTTGCTGCCGTTGGCTCCTCTTAGTACTTTCGACTCAGCGGCCCCGCCGGATCACCAGTTGCTTGGCTGGCTGTTTCTCATCTATCCAGCTCGCTCTTGTTTTTCTTTCGCTGTCTCTCTCTCTCTCTCTCTCGCTCTCTCGTTCTCGCTCTCTGTCCCTTTCACACACTCTCATACGTATACATAATATAAGTATGTACATATGTGCATGATCCAGGGCCCAGGTTGACGTCTGCCCCCCCCCCCCCCCCCAGCCCCCATGGCATCCCTCACCCCTGGATTTTTGGGCCGTCACATCGGGACTTTTGGAACGCGATCAAGATGCGAGGCTCCAGAAGTGACGACCGTCACGAGGGATGGCCAAGCCCAGGGCCCATCCTCGTGACGGTCGGCTCGGGAACGCAAAGAAGATTTGAGATTTCCCAAAAGTGACGACTGTTCCTTTCCCGGAGCCTTGGATGCCTCTTCAGCAGATCACGCTACTTTCAAATGGGCGGTGACAAACACAAAAGCTTCTGAAACGCCACTCAAGAAAACGGCGATGCCCCGGTGAGAAGACAAACAGGCTCACTCTGAAAAGCAAAAGCCTCCTGACGGCGTTTTTTTGCCACACGCTCTTTGCGTGCTCTCCAGCGCTCCAATCTCAAATCGGAAAGATTCAAAAAGCAAAGAGGCTGTCTGATGCCTTTGGAGTGTTGTTGGATGATTGCCTTCAGGTGCGACATGCTGACCAAATGACACTTTTAGCCGGTTCCAGGCGTGTGGCGTTTTGGCACGATTTCCGACTAACGCCATCGCTTTCGGATTGGGGCCTTTCGGACACACGCGATGGACCGAATGACCAAACTGGTTGCGGTTGCGTTGGGTTGTGGAGAAGCTGCGCAGTTCAACATTGAGAGGTGTGTAACAAGCCTTGTGAACCCCGTTCGGGAAGACTCCCATCTCCCAATGCCAAACATCCCCATGAAAAAGTCCGTGGCCTTTGAGGATCTAGCTGCCACCACTGTGCCGAGTGAAGTCGTCGCCTTGACCTTGCAGTGAGGGAAGCAGCTGCGCAGCCCGAGATTCCTCGGAGGAATACGCAGGTTTTGTAGTTTAGTTTTTGACGTTGTGACCCCTAAACAACCTCTAAGCTCCAAATTTTCTTCAGTCCGTGGTTTCCATTCATATGCCTGCCCCCCAACTCATAGCAAGAGAAGAACGGTGGCTGTACAGACTTGTGCTGCGCCTACCAGGGGAGGGGACCGCGCCCCCCCCCCCCCCCCCCCCCCCTCCCCATCAACCAACGAAACAGCAGTGCCATCTTAGCTGCTGTAGGACGATCTCAGCGTAGTTGCAGGGCCCCTTAGCATGGGCCCTTAAAAGGGGATCCCCTCAAATGCCCCTTTTATGCCCTGTAAAACCCAAAGGCCGTTACTTCAGAAGCCTTTAATTTAAAGAAGGTCAGGCACCAAAGTAAGTGAACATTTATCTTCCCTTAGAGACGAACCTGCAATATTCCTGCGCGCACACAGCTCCATGGACCCAACTTTATATATTTTTGAGCTCATGGAGTGTGATGCCCGCTATGCGGGCAGCTCACGAGCCAACAGAGATGACTGACATTGACGTACGCGCCACTGGCCGATTTCTGCATGGTTCCAAAGGTCGCGGGTGTATGAGCGGAGATTTGCAAAGTCTTGCGGGATTCTGGTCTTCACTGCTTCACTTCGCATTTTTGAAAGAGAGCTTGGGTGGCATTTTGCACATGGCAGGGGCACGGCTGGTCTACGACTTGAACCCAAAAGGTCTTGTACCTGTGCTGGTGGACCCTTCTGGAAGAGTAGTTGCAGCTCGACTGCCACAGACGCCACAGTGGTTGCAAAGAGTATTAGAGTCTAGTAACAGGGTTGTCGGGTCCCCCCGTGATGTGTTTCGAACGCAAGGTGGAGTCAGAGGACATCGTGGATGTCACTTGCCTTTTCTGATTCGTCAGCGATCGGTGATGGCTGAAAAGAGCCAGCTGCAAGAATTTCTCCTTATTCCTGGAGCTTTGGCTATAGTTTTATAAGACAGCAAATCTTCAAAAGCTCACGGCCTAATTGCTTAGCCAATGCCACTCTTGAACCTACGTGCGCCGCCGCTCTGTGGTCGCAAGGCACGCCGTGACCCAGTTAATTGCACGGCACATTTTAGCGACTTTTGGGCAGGACAGTCAAGAAACCATGAACCCAATCCAGAACAGTTTAAGTTAGCAACCGAGATTCGACGAGTCGAGCTGCGTTCTTCGTGTACGTGCAATCCATATTTATAGGTTAGATTCGATCAAACGGGGGTTGACAGCGCGGCGCGACGCGTCGGCTGAAGATTCTGACGCCTCAGTCGACATTCAAACGCATCATCCTAGGCCATCGCTCAGCAATCTTCTGCTGGCCTCAGTGCCAGCCTCAGAGTCGTCTGCTTCTTCATGTCATGGCTGGTCCGTCCCTTGTAACTAGTGCTAGCCTGCTTGGATCCTTCGAGGTAAAGCCCCGGGCCCAGCAGCTCATCTGCATGCAGGTAGAGCACGGGCTTGACTGGCCAACATCTGATCTAGGAGTCTGGGTTTGATTGCACAGCATCTTGATTGCTATCGCCCTTGCAGCCCCGAGCTAGCCCCCGGAAGTTCCGGAAGCTGCCATAAGTCAAAGGATGCTGCAGAGATTCGGCGGCTGATCAACCAGCGCCTCCTCCCAGCTGGTAAGAAGGTGTCTTGGAACAGCAGATCGGAAATAGAACACCGAACAGCCAATCCTTCTTGGTGTCAAGCCCAGGCCAAAATGTTCGGGCAGCCAGGGGACTTGGGCCCAGATCCTTATCCGCATTTAGGTTTGCGCTCATTTCAAATTTCGCGGATCTCGACGCCAGGCCACTAGATTTCCCAGCTGTGTTCAAATCATTCCAGAAGTCGGAGATTACGCTCCAGCGCTCGCATTGAAATTGTGACATCGCAGACGAGTTACGCTGAGTTTCTTGGAAAGGTGCTCCAAGATCTAGACAAAATGGTTGCATGAGCCTCAGCTTTCTTGCAACCAACCTCCGGAAGACTTCACCTTGAATGAGATGACTTTACACCAGGTGAACACGAAGTAGAGTTCATGTGAAGGTCTGAAGATGATTGATACCAGTAGGCGGATGACAGAAAAGATCGGTCATTCGCGGAACTCCGCCTTGCCTCACCTCATGCCCCTCTGCAATTCTCTGCGTGCAGAGCTGGGCAGAGACCCAACTGCATGCCTCCTGACCGTCCCCAACCTTCCGTGCTGTGTCCAGGCGGGCCCCTTCTTGGCTGGTGAGGAAGTCACTGTGGCCGACATATCGGCAGCACCAATGTGGCTTGCCTGAAGTCACAGTAAGTCTGACAGTAAGTCATAATATCTGTCTTTTGCGCTGTAGATCGGGCATCCGCAACGGTTGGGATGCTGCTGAATGAGACAGCACCCATCGTACCGGCCACTGCTCCTCTTACTTTGCATCTCTGCACTCAGGCTTCAGCGGCTTTTCGAAGATGGGATGGTTCCACAGGACATGATGTCAAAAACCTGCGCGAGCCTGACATAGCCTGAGGTTTGTACCCTGATTCTTGCCTGTGCGACGCATGTCACCTCAGATTCCTGCACTTGCACGTCGCGAGAAGCCCGTGCGAGTGTCGGTGGCAAGGAGCTCACCCAACTGCATTCCTGGTGGAATGCAGTCAATGGCCTCCCTTCCTTCCAGAAGACCATGGTGCAGTCGTACTGGTGGTGGTGGTGACTACCACAGGCGCATTGTGTATGCTGCGGTTGCTATGTTTTTTTCTCCTCCCCGAACTCGCCACATGCGTGCGTGAACTTAACAGCTCGCAGGGCAAGAAAGACATTGTCACGCTTGTGGACCTTGGTGCCCTGGCAGGTGCTCCTGCGGCACGTCCTTTATGTCGTTTTGATGCCAACTCTGAGCCTCCACTCAGTGACATTTCTCCCGTACCTGCTGGCAGCTTTAGGGCCCATGGTGTGTGGCTGAAAAGCTGGCACCAACATGATTGTCAGGTCCAGCACATGTTGCTTTCCAGAAGACCTGGAACCACATGAGGTTAGTCACGGTTAGTCCAAGTGTTGTGGGCTCTTCGGACCGCGGAGTCGAAGGAGTGTTCCTCTGCTGGAGCGAACCACAGTAGAACTATGCAGAACTCAAAGGAAAAGCAATTTGGCAAACCAGTGGCAGTCTTCCTGCTTGTACTAATTTGCGAAATATATGTCGATTGAGCGCATGTTTTGCAGAGCTGCATGCGCCGATGTGCGCGAGGTGGCCTGCGGTGACATCCACACGCTGGTCTTGGACAGGGAGGTCCCTGCCCTGCAGTGGAACCATCTCCATTGCTTCGAAAGGTGAGAATATGTCGTATATGTCGCAGGGCTGCTTGTGATCAAATTGCGTTTGCAAGAGCTAAGCTTCTGACAACGGCCAAGCAAATCAAGGAATCATCGGGGAAGCGTCATCCGTCCAACTTAATGTTGTATCGGTTGTACCCTCCTCGGTGTTAGGGCAAGCCCCCCCCCCCCCCCCCGAACAGTGGATGCTGATCTTGTCACTCTTTACACGGTCGCGGTACTTCACATAAGATTTCGAATGAGTTTACATGAACTGAAAAGGGACAAGAGGTCCGGTAATTTCTGCCAAAGGCGCGCCATGCGAAGTCTCTTACGCCACCCGGAAGACTTCACTTATCGGAGAACCCTCCCGGCACTGCCCAGCAGTCAAGGGCTCCTGAGTAGACCAACAAGCTTGACTTTAAAGGGGGGTCCCCTTACTACAGAGGGTCCAACATGAACTGTGAGGTTCATGATGGTTCAGATGTAATGTCGTTCCCTTGGTTGATAAACCCATGGAATCTTGTCCAGGTATGAGATCCGACGCTTGTCTTGGTCCGTTGAAAATGGCTCCAGATAGGGATGTAGAGATTATTGTAGATAAAGGTGTAGACTCAGATTTAGGTTCTGGCAAAGATGGGCTGAAGGCCTCCAACTGGGTGGATTGGGTTCTTAGGGCTAGCCGAGTCATTGGAGGAAAATCGGCTTAGAAGCGTTCGGCTTTGTTAGACTTACTGTTAGTTAGTAGGGAATGGGGGAATAAGGTACCATATATGGTTGTGCTGCGCCCCCCCCCCCCGGCCCCCTTCATGGTATCCCCCCCCCCCCCCCAAGGGAAACCCTAACCCCACGCATAAACCCTAAACCCTAAACAAAACCACCCAGAACCACCCCACAGGGCGGGGGGGGGGGGGTAGGCAGTATATCTTGTTTTTTTTTTTTTGGGGGGGGGGGGGGGGAGGGGGGGGTGGGCCCGCCGGGGCGCAACCATCGAGGGATTGTATCCCCCATTCCCTTCTAACCAACAGTAAGTAGAGGCTTCGCCCAGCACAGAAATCATGAAGCGTAACGGCCTCCCTTCAGACAGCATGCAGTTCAATCCATCACGTTCTGAGGGGTCCCAACTGCGGCGCAACCGAAAAGAAGCTGCAGAAAAGTTCTGGGCATTGTTGGCTCATGTTTTTGACACTTGCAGGGGCGAGTTCACTCCACGGGCCAGGGTGGCTCTGGGCGGCTGGGCGTGGGCCTCACTCCGTGCCTTACCGCGTGCCTCACTCCATCCTTACTCTGTTCAGCGCCTCGTTATCGTTTTGCCTTTGACACTCTTTTCGTTTTGGGGCCTCGTTTTGGTCGGTCCAGGTCGAGGAGGGATTGCTTCTCGAAGTGACGAGCTGGAGTTCCACGAGGCTCAAGTTCGCCATCAGCCCTTTGCAGGACTAAAGCAGAAATGGCACTTCACAGTAGCAGTACTTAGCAGTCAATGAAGCTGCTGGCCTTGCAAGGTTTCTGTCAGCCGTCAGCCACGGTGTTAGTAATATGCTGACATAAAATTTTGCAACCGCCTTGCAAAAACAGTTGTGTTCATCTGATCTGCAACACGGAGCCGCATCGGACCGGACATCCGAGCATTTCTGGCGACTGGTGCGAGGTTGAATACTTCAAGAGAACCACTGACTCCATCCTCAATCCGGGCGAGGACGACACGGCTGGTTGTATGGCATTGTGGCATACCTTTCGTTGATGTCGTCCAGGAGCCAGTGATTGTCAAGGCCGGAACCCCTCCCCTTGAAGACTGTAAATCTATGAAAACAAAACATGTTTATACATATGCATGTATATATACATAGATACTGTAGCTATTGGTGTACCTATATTGTCTACATTGTATGGTATTTTTTATACATATATAGTTTTATGTAGTTGACACCTTGCATTGGCAGTCCTTTAGGTGGTTGAGAGCTTGCCTTGGGCAAGAGATTGGGTTTAGGTTTTGGGGTTTAGGGTGATTGTGATTCATGTCGGGGGTGCAGCTTGCAGAGGTAGACGCAGGGAGGGAGTTCTCCGCTGCAATGTCGTCGCACGGCGAAATCTGGGTGCTTGCCTCAGAAAGGATGCCAAAAAGGGGGGGGGGGGGGGGGGGGGGGCGGATGTCTTTCGAGTTACTTTCAGAGAATTCCTGCTTTTGGCTCCTGTAGTGTCAGACTGTGTCTTGAGTTTGCTGGTACAAACCGAGCATTGCCAGGTCTGGGGTCGCAACGACTACGGCCAGCTTGGTATGGGCTGCAGCCTCATGACCAGCCCAAACTGGCTTGCAAGCTAGGCCGCCGCTCCTGGTTGTGACTGCCGAGCATGTGCACATGCTGAGAAGATCAGAGAAGGCCACATCGGCAGTCATCTGCAAGTGCTCAAGGTTTGGAAGTGATGCGCAACCGGGACTTCTGCATGCATTATCCTTTCCTGGTGGGGCTCTGAGCAGTTTCCGCTTGCAGCAAGCAGTCACTAAGTCACTAAGTTACGACAAGCGTCGTAGTTTTAACGAGGCGATGTCCACGCTGTTGGATCACTACTCCTGCCAATTTAAGCGTCGAAAAGCGCTGTGAACAAAACCCATTCATGGCGTAGACCCCGAACAGTGTAAGACGACAGGGCCGCGACCATGGTGGCACGTCACAAATGACGAACGACTTAGAACGATCCAAGTCCTCAAACGTGAGTACGTTACAACCCCATGTGAGTTGCGATGGTTGCCATACGTGCTTGGAGCGAAACTACTAACTAACTAGTAACTAGTAGTTACAAGAATCGATGTGATCTGTGGTGTTTTTTTCGCACTGTACCTTCCAGGAGTGAACATCGGTATGCCCCCATGTGGTTTTAAGATGTTTTCGTATGCTTCAGGAGGGTTGCAGAAGTGTCGTCGCCATCGCAGAATGTCGCGGATGGGCGCACAGGGTTCCATCAACAGCTATGCTGCTAAAAGCATCAGAAGAGTCGCAGTCGTTGTGAAGCTCTTTGGCGAAGTTCTTTGCGGCTTTGCCTGAGGCTATCAGAGTGTGGAACTTGTTACCACCCCGTATGATTGCGACTGACATCCAGCACGACGTGGAACACCACCAAAGGCAAATATGTTTTAGCACAGCTGCTCCAAGCGGCATCCAAGAACCCGAGATGCAGAAGAGTGCATCCCTGCCACGATTTTTGCGACGAGTGGTGCAAGCCTGTACATGCCACCGCGGCAATCAGTGAATCAGAGGTGTTTGCTGCGAGAAAATTGAAAGGCTGGGCTGTGAGGGCAAGGCAGCTGAAGGACATATTTCAAGATACTTCAAGAGCGCGCCCATGGACAAACTCTGGATGACATGCAAAGTGAGCGTACTGATCACCTGGAAAAGAAGTCAAGCTCGCCGGCTTCTTTGAAAAGGTATCATGCTCGGAACATGCCATCTCGCAGGTGCGATGGTGTAGCCGCCCTACAGGGGCCAACAGTTGAAAATGATTTTCATTTTGGCTTGTTTCCGCACGTGTGCAGAAGTTGTCCCAGAGGCCGTTCTCCCAAGGCGCAGCGGTGTTCAAGAGCCGCGTAGTCAAAAAAAAACTTGGACTTCACACTACCGTACCTTCGAGATTGCCTCTTCCTGACTTGTGGGGCAACAAGCATGCCGGCTAGTACCCGCTAGTACCAAAACAAGCTTGCCAGGGTGCACAAGAGGAGAGTCCACCTTTTGCAAGCTCGAACATCGGCTAGAAGTCCAGAAGTTGAAGCCGGCGGGCGAGTGGGAGGGGGCCGCGGCTGTGAGAGAAGAACTTGTTCCAGATGTAAACGGCTTGTCGCGAAGCAGAAAAGCTTGAATGAAGTGGTATAGACGCGCCATTTTGGGCTGCAGTCGCTGCTGCATGATTTATGCAGACCGTCAGTACAGCAACACCCCTGCGTAAAATGCAGCGGCGGAAGGCTGACAAGGATACGCTATCCTTTGATGAAGAAAGCAGTTCGTACTACAGCCAGAGAGCAGCAACTGCCCGCCGACCATCCTCGAGCCAAGAGAGGACCTCGGCATATTGCCACACTGAAATAGATGCAGACTCGACAATCAGAACATTCTAATTCCGACCCGCAACATCGATCCAACAAGCTTAGTTGCAACACATGCAGCATCAACTAGATCAGATCTGCGTTCAAGGTTCAACCCCTAATTAGGAAGCATGAACTAAAGAAGAAAAAGACGTGCCCAAGTTTTTCTGCAAACATGTTGGAGCATGACTGGGACGAGTGGATTGCCATGAACTCCCACTTCTCTCTCATGCTATCCTGCTCGCATGTTCGAGCAATGTAGTTTATTGCATGGGTGACTCAGTTGGACCCGGTTGTATCGCTGTGGTTCGGTGGTTCATTGATCAGTCTTTCTTGCACCACTTGAGCTGCGCCCGGCAGATGCGGGACTTGCCCATGGAGGGCCACGTGCTGCGGGATTTTGCGGGCTCCTTAGAGATCGAGCGCACCGCTTGCAACATAGTCATGTGCCTGCACTGTTCGACGTGCTAGCCTTGCTCTTCTTTATGCGGGAAGCTCTATAGGCGGACGAGCAGATCATTTTTTATGGTTGTTGTTAGCTACCCCATATTCCTTCTTCTTGTCGGTTGTTAGCTGAGGAACATCTTTTTCCAGCTCTGGACGAGGTATTTCTTCCCCATATACCTTCTTCTGGTCGGTTGTTACCCGAACAAAATGTTTTTTTCTAGCTCCCTGGGCGTGGTAATCTTCCCTGTATGCCTTCGTCTGGTCGGTTGTTAGCTGAAGAAATCTTTCCAGCTTCCTGGGTGTGGTAGTCCTTCCTCATATGCCTTCTTCTGAAGGCGGTTGTGAAACGGACAACAGGGAATACAACCGTGAGAGAGGGACAGATGGGCACGGCACGGAACTGGAAAAGTAGTTGTTGGAGAGTAACGTTCAAATTGGAATTCTCGGTTCCGGGCAAGATCTCAGGTTTCAGGCTTTGTGGAAGGAGACAAGGTTTCAAGACTTGAAGTCCCGCCATTCGGGCAAAAGCTGCCCGGCACAGAAAACGTGTCCTTTAAAGAGGCGATAAGAGGCCGGACTCCCCCTAAGCAATGGGGGATATCCTCAACGAGAAGGCCACTGCCAAGTAGGTTCCCACATTGCCCGTAAGATTTGCTTAGTTCAGTTCTCGATTCTTTCCAGAAATGGCACGACAGATGTAGGCCTTGCGACTTTCCGAATTCTGAGACTTCAGTGAGGCCTGTGGAGACCACCACATCGTGGCAGTGACCAGCGCAGGCGCCATCTACGAGCTCAGAGCTGAGAGATGGCCATTGCCAAGCTGTACGATTTTTGCAGATCAAGGTTTTTTTGTGTCACTCCTGGAAATTTGCGTCTTTCTAGCTTACCTGGGTCCTCCTCTCAACTTCTTCAACACACTCTCAGGTGGGGGGAGCGGCACCACTTTGAGCCTACAGCCGTCACGCTGCCGAGCCGCTACCAGGTCGCTATGGGCTTCCAACACTTGAGAATTTTGTCATGCTCCGAATTGACTCGACCCGAGTTCGTGATGCCTCCATTCCGAGCTCATTGCGTGCAGGAGGGCCTCAAGGGCATCTGGAAGGTAGCGGCCGGCAAGAGGCACCGGAGAAGACCATCCTCAAACTCATAGCACTGTTTTACGAAGATGAGGTTTCCCGGTGCTCCAAGTGCCGGTTTGCTCGAGCAAGTAGTCATGAGGGTTCAGAAGACCACGTTGTGGCACCTCGTGGCTGTTGTGCTCTCAGTTGCTCCTTCGCCCTGTCGATGGACGGTGCCCTCTACAGTTGGGGGCGCAAGTTTTCCACTCAGATTCCACCAGCTACCGAACTGTGCGTATCTGGCTACATATTTGCCAAAAAAGCATAATGAGGTTTCAGTGCAGAACATGTTGAGCCTGGCATGTTTGCTGAGGTCCAGTGGCTGTTTAGCATTGGGCGATTCCTGCACCGAGCCCGGCTTGACAGCAGCTAAGCAGCCAAAAGGGGCTTTTGAGATCTTACGGCACACTAAGGTGAGGACTGGGTCAAAAGGCCCGTGCAGATTCCGTCACCGGCTGAGATAGTTGCAGCATGGGGCGAACCTGGGGCTGCCTCAGACTGCGGAAGGTCATGGAACAATTGAAAGAGCCCAAGCGACAACTTACACGACAGACTCTTATACCGTGGCCTTCATATGGACTACTTGGCGATGATTTTGTGTGGGGCCTCAGGGTAGAAGCCGTCATTCTTCCGCTTGCCTTAACTCAGGAAACGTGCGTCAAACCTGAAGTAGCTTGCTGCTGCAGACGCGCAATGTTTCAAAAGGTGCAACTGCAAGGCTTTCTATTTTCAACCACGGTAAAAGTCGCAGGACTGCCTAGCAAAGGCCAAAAAGCACAACAGCTTTCGTGGTGCTACCTATGCCCTTTAGTGAAGCTGGCATGCTTCGTGCATGAGCTCAAGTGCCATGATGCCAGAATATGCCAGACAACTGACGCAAGCAAAGGCCCGAAACATTTGGACACCAACGAGTGGTGGACATTATGGTCCTGTTCTCAGCTGAATAACTTTCCAGCAGGTTGGCAGGTGCTTCGTGGCATGCAGAACTTGATAAGCCAAGCTTGTGCTTGCGCTGCTTCAGCTCTTGTTTTCTGGCTGCAACTGAAGGCAGCGGAGGCTTAGGTTTACTCACAGCTTTGTGCGATTGCGTCATGTTTGTTGTTTAACATCAAAGATTGGGATGCTAGATTGGCACTTAGACGGCAACTTCGACCTTGAACCCATGGTGCTTGACCTGCATCTCAGATGGTAAGCCGAATGTCTTACACACGCACCAGTCATCACAGCTGGTAGTGCAACAAGCAGACGCTGGTTACTGTACCGCTTGTCGACTCCAACTTCCCGGGCGAGTGACCTGCAGCCTTCATCATGCAGGCAGCCACTGCCAAGGCCTGTAGCTGGCTCTCCCGCAGACAGTGGGTATACCCAAAGGTAGCTGCTTCTCGCTCACCCTGCAGGTCGCTCTGCCTCGAACACTGATGCCGCTGCTCACAGCCCTACGCTCCAGCGCCCCTGCGCCAGCGTGCCTAGGCTCTCGAATCATACGTGGAACCCCCCCGCCCCCCCGACCCCCCCCCCCCACCCCCCCGATCCTTGCATGGCAAGAGCTTGTAACGAAACAGCCAGCCGCCCGACGCCCCCCTCCCGACAAACCCTATCACCAAGGCCTGCAGCTCTGTTTCGTAGGGTCTCTCCCAGAAGGTGCCATGTTTGGTGCAGTTCCGTTCTCATCTCTTCCTTGGCCGCGTGCACACGCACACACACACACACACACACACACACACACACACCCACAACAAAAGGAACAAAGCACCGGGATTATAGGTCTCGTACATGCAGCGAACACAAAGGTGTGCCCCATGGCAAAGGTTCACACCGGTTGGCACCCTCACTCCTGCTCAAGACTCCTGACGGATTTGACCTCTGTATAACTCTGTCAAGCCCAAGCACGCGAACACCACCCACCCTCCGGCGAGAGAGCACGCGCCTGCAAGCACACGCACCAACACAACAAGCAAGACAAGGCAATCATATTGACCACCCCGACATGCCAAGTGGTCCTGACAACTTACGGCATGATGTTCGCATCGCATTTACGTTTCGGTTCAAGCCGGCTATGTTGAGTTGTATGGTCTTTGGGTATGTGATTGTCGTTCGATGCTGCTATTGATTTTTGACAGTCAGTGCAGAGACTTACATGTCACATGCCACGTAGACTCAGTGAAACACCCTGACGCATCTTCAGAGCCGGCAAGTCAAAAAATCAGCCACAAGCGAAATTCGGCGTTACGAGGCGTTCTTGCCCCAAAAGGTGTACGTAGCTTCCTCGGTGAGTAGTAAGCCAGATCGCAGTGTGCCCTGGTAGAAATCCGCTTTAAGCTGTGTTGATCGGACTCTGGCCGGAATCGCAAGCCCCTGAGCCTTTGGACGAAAATTATGCGCAAGGTGTCTTGGCGAGCCATAAGCCCCTCATGTAAGTCTATCCACCTGGGACTAATGACGAATGTTGCTATTTTGGAGGAGTCACGGCCGGGTGTTTTGACATGTAAAGAGCTCGGAGCGCATAAGGAGAACCGATGAGACCAGGTAAACAGTTGTTGCTTGCTTGGGCTTTTGTTGCTCCAGGCGGGGTTCAGGGTGTCATCAAACCATATCAGAGCTTCACAGTTCCGGATCTGAGGCCGCCAATGCGAGAAGCAGTCAGCGAGACAGTCCGCAATTGGTTGACGAAGTGGCTTCTTGAGGCCACCCTCCTCGTGCTGCCCTTTCTCTCATCCAGCATGGCATATACATTGCATGCCATACAGCATCAGCAGCGGGCTAGGGCGCAGAGGGCACAGGGTGCGCGGCCTAGCCCGCTGCTGATGCATTCTGCGGAACGTTTGCGGTGGTGCTCGACAGGCAGTCGGATTTCCTCGGACCTACTGGCAGAGACTCTCGGAGGCATGTGCTCAATTAGCACGTGACGGGCCTTGTGACCAGCCAAGTTTAGTCTATTCAATAGGTGCAAACCACAAGTACTCGAACGGGACGAATCTACTCGCGACAAGAGCTTCTGAACGGCTCACGGCGGTTTGGATCATGCTTCTAGAGAATGGAATGTGCGCGGCAAGCTGCAGCGCTAAGGCGATGTCAGGCAAGGAGCAGAAGCTGCAATGAGGCCTTCCTCCTGAAAGCTACCATGTCATTATTTCTGAATTCTGACCTTATAGTAAATAAAGGTATTTTCATATTATGATGCTGGTTCTGCCACAAGCCGCGATTTTGTCGTCACCCTGTGCCATGCGGATCGAGGCATCTCAGTGAGGGCCGCAGCGTGGCCGAAAGCCCCGTAGTCGAGGCACTCGCTTTCAACGTTCGTGCTTGGGAATTTGGAATATCTGTAACTCTCTGTAAAATGTTGGGGACATAGGGGAATTCTGGGGGCTGAATCTGCCTGCTACATCCTGATACGGCGCTTGGAAAAGAGGGCTAGTGATGGCTAGGCAGGTGTAATTGGTGGCCAGATCGCTTCTAGCTGGAGGCAGAGTGGAGCGTGGCCCCTTACCCTGGCAAAAAACAGTAGTGCACTCAAGGTCGGGAGTGACCAATGCCCAGTGCATATACGCGTGCTTTGTACATGCTGAGCTGCAAGGCAAAGCTTCGGAATATTTTCGCTGACGCTGTGACCGGACTTGATGAGGCCAAGCTAGTGGCTTGCTCGCAGACATGCTGTTTGCTGCATGCACATTTGGTGGTGACGTGGAAGCGGTTGTAAACATGTCTCCTTGTTGAATCTGTTGAAAGCTGCGCGCCGACGAGTCAGCACACACGACGGCAAGTGAGGATTTGACCTGGAACCTGGATATCTCCTCAGTCGAGTTGCGCAACTTTCTCCTCGTCTATGGCATGCGACGCTCGACAGGCCGCACAGCTGGCCTCTACCGCAAGCCAGTGTCTGGCCACTACGTGGACGCTGGTCTGAATTGGGCGCATGTTCTGTCAATTCCCACCCCGGCCCTCATCCTTAATTTCTTGATTTCCAATGGCGAGTTTCTGCAAGAAGGTCTCTGAAGAGTCGACACCTGCCGGGGTCTGGGAAGTGGCGCAGGCCGCCCTGCAAGGCCCCTTGGCACCGCTGTGCCTTTCGGAAGTTTGCTTAAATTATTTTCCAGGTGAGAGATAGTGGGAGTTACCGTTCGATCTATATTTTTAAAGCGCTTAGAGCCTTAGACTTCTCTCCGTAGAGGCCATAGGAAGCCGCATGAAGCTGGGGCTTCAGCTAAGCTCTTAGGACCTCTTAGGTGTACTGAAAGCAAGGCCCCGCAGGGCAAGTGTCAAGCTCCTTCAAGCAGAAGTTCAAGGAGATGTTGTGTGTACTACCTCCGGCGCTTGCTTTCATACGATGTGCCAGCTTTTTGTTTTCCTGTGTCTGGCGTGCCATCGTACTGCGAGCCTCGCAAGCGCTGCAACGGTTATTATTACTTTCGACTCAGAAACCTGCTTTGCTGGGACGTAAAGCCCCTCAGGTGGAACTGTTTGTGCGGACTTCGTGCTGACCTGCGACCAGGTCCTCAACATGGCACCAACTCATGGAAGTGCAGCTGTCAAGAACTCCCGCACACAAGTCACACCATAGTGTATGCTTCGCACACTTAAGTTGTTCTAAGGCCCCAGCACCAGCAGATTCCTAGCAGCTCTGCTCGACATATCGTAGAGGTGCTGGAACTGCGCTGCGCCGAGACGCAGGAGACGAGGCTACGTGAGGTGCAGGGCTCAGGTGTTCACCCGGAAGATGGAAAAGTCATGTTTAAACCGTCAAACTACAAACGCACCAGTGGACATTTCATATCGGATGTGTCAGGGGAGAAACGACAGCAATGGGAATCGTGCGACCAGTGGTGACATGCGAGTTCCTATGGCAAGTACATGAAGTACCGAATATTGCATACAATTTGTCATGATCTTTTTGTTAGGCCTCTGAACATACTGAGTCCATGGCAGGAGTCAACTGTCGACCATCGACTTCGACTGGAGGTGGCTTGGTCGTATACTGTATGCATACATATGTGTGCATGTGTGTGTGTGTGTGTTTATATCATGTATGCACACACACACACATATATATATATATATGTACATACACACACACATATATATATATGTATATGTTCTTCGGTTCTTCCCCGCTGCGCTTGACAGCCATGCTGGTGATGCAATTTTACAAATGCTCCGGGCATCTTGACAGCGTCATTTCATGGCTTACAAGAACTCCTGCTAATTCCTGATCTAGTGCATCTAGTGGTCGGCGGCTTGAAGCTCGAGCTTTGCGCTTGAACTGCATGTCTGATAAGTAATTTAATTGATTCAATTTAAGGACTGTCCTTCCACAGGCTGCATCCCTTCCACAACATCTCACGCATCCCTGACTTTGATGCTTTCTGATGAGCCAGCCGTGTCTCGACAGGCGGAGTGGTTCCCGGCTGAGGGCGACCACAGAGAAATTCCGTGCCTGTGCTGTTTTTCTTTCATGAATTGAATGGAGACATTTGTGTCAGGCTGTTGTGCTCCCTGGGTCGACTTGCTGATAAATGCTCACAGCACTGCACGCACGATCCAGCAGACAGATGCGCAGGACATTGCAGGGCAAGACAGCACGGGCATGTTCATCTGTTTCTGTCTGTCTCAGGCCCAGATTTGATGAGCAGCGAGGCAGGGCTAGGGGGATTCCGTCAAAAGATGCAGCGCAGCAGGAGTAACAGGAGTGGGCGTTGGCTTCAATTTGCAGGCAACTTTATTAGCAGGTCCTGCCGTTGCGGATGTCGCGGATGTTGGCCCCCTCAAGTATTTGCTTGCTACGTACTGCAGAATCTCAGAGGATGGTTGATCACAGACCTGAATGGCGCTGCCGAGCTCAACAACCCAGTGGCTCACATCCAGGAAGTGGAGTGAAGGCGTTGCTCCAAGGCGTTCTTCTTCTCACACCTCACACCTTGCTGGTGTCTTTCCCGATGTTTCACCTGACACATTCTCGGGAGTCTGAGCCGGCATCCAACACATCCTTGCAGGGTTAGAATTTCGAAATCGGTGGAGAAGTCCCCCTTTGGGCATCTGGCTGCAGAGGGGATCTAAGCCAGTGGTTGCAGACTGCGCAGATGCACCCCCACTAGCTCTCGTCAGGGTAGCCGTGCGAGGCGTAACAAGTGCCCTGTGCCTGGCTATGGTATCATGACTGTGATCCGAGACTGCAGTTTTCCGGCTTGCCATCAGCCCGTATCACTGCATGCAGCAGTCAAGCAAATGCCCTGCCGCTACCCAGGCTTCGCACCACCGATGCATGGCAATCACGGAGGAAGTCTGAGAGAAGCTCCATCAATGATGCTGCACGGTGTAGCTTGAAGCAGCTGCCACATTTTCCATTCTCGCAGGCAGCAGAGCCTTTGGTTTCGGAGTGCAGTCTTAAAGTAAAGACGTGCATGGGAAGGCAGCTCCAGCATGATGTATCGTGAGTAAATATGATTGAGACGTACGTGGTACCAGTAGCTTCCCGCCGGTCGGCACATGAATCAACGAGACGTGGCGGCAATATGACCACAACACATACTACCGGTTTCCGACGCAAAAAACTGCGCTGGCGACAAGTGGCATCCATCAGTTGGGCAAATATCCCAGCGCCAGTATTCCGGGGCGCAAATGACAATGATCACAACGCACAGCAGCACGCATGTAGCACGAGAGGAAGTATACATAAGTCGCTAAAGCATCAGGCACACGGCACACGCCAGCAAGTTCCCCACAAGACAACAATTAGAAAGCTGCTCAGACGCGATGTCAGACTGACCTTAGAACCCATTAATGCCGAACACATCATCCATGTCAGGTCGCTGTTAGCTTGCTTGTTCGATGATTGTGTTTTGTTCTGGAAACCAATCGTGAGAGTCCTTGGGGGGGCTACAGTGCCGATTGCAACCGCTCGAATTTGTTGTTGCTGCCTCGATCCTGGCTGCCTAGCTTTCAGATTGCCTAGAAGGACAACACAACTTGACAAGCAGGCAGAAGTGGTAGAGCGGCTTCCCCCTCAGGACTTGACGTCTTCATGATTAAGAGCAGTCACCAGCACCTTCGGGCATCCAGCGCAGTCAGAAGAACCTCTGGCCAGGCGGCTACGCCTCAAACTTTCACACATGCAAGAGGGACTGGGACTGATTCACCTGAACCAGACACTACCACCGGATGATTTGGCTACGTGTAGTCAGTGTAGTCTGAAGTCCGTCGATGCTAGGTTGTGGTCCAACTCTCAGCTTGATTCGCAACTTCCGAGCGAAACCGCCAGCTTCTCTAGTTTACTCAGGTGACGACAGCAGCGATGAAGAGTCCGAGTCCAGCAAAGGCAGTCCGGGGGAGAATTCCGAGGACCCCAATTGCATGCTGAGCGACTTCAGAACATGTTGGGCTTCTGCAGAAGTCGGCGCCTGGCTGCCCAGAATACCATCTTTGTTTGCATGCCTTACCCGGTATCCCGCAAGATGGTGGTGGTCTGGCGCCAGTGTTGTTTAGTGATTCTTGAATAATTCTTGCCGCCGTGCCGCTTTAGGCGTAAGAAGGCAATGAGCATCAGTCGTGAAGCCTTGGTCAACATCAGGCGTCACGAGCTTGAACCATGGACACAGCACGTCGAAGCCGGCCTGAGGGCTAGCACATGTCAGCATAGCCTCAGCCGGCCCAGCATCATGGGTATCAGAAGCGGGTCGTGTTCTGGGTCGGGGGCTTGGAGTTTCATGCCGTGGTCTTTCGGAGTTCTTGTCTTGAGGATGATCTAGATCAGAGGGCCTTCGCATCTCAAGCCACGAGAAGCCAAAGGCCCAACCCCATTTCAGCTAGCATCTTTCTATGTGGAGTCAGAAATTCGCCGCTGGCTTGCTCATTTATGACCCCATCCCATCCAGCACACAGCTCTAGACTGTCCTGAATGCTGACGCCAGCAGATTGCAAGCGCTTGAGAGGCGCATGCGAGCATTCCTTAGCAATGGGACGATCAGAAATGTTGAACACTGCACATTGTCAGTTCTTGGCAATACTCAGACACATCAAGACCGAGCTTTTATTCAATATGCCTAGACATGCTGTGGCTACAGACTTGCAAGCTTTTTGCAAGGACAACGAGGAGCTGTCTGCCTGGGAAAAGGAGTTGGCTGCAATTGCCTCGGGTTCACAGAAAGCACGCGGAGAATAGCTTCCTACCAGCTTCTCCTGGACAGCCTTCACAGACCTGTGCTGTGCGTTTGAATCCGTATCCTTGATGAACTGCGCAGCCACACTGCCGGGTGTATAATGCCGAGGTGAAGGCCCTCGACAAGCGCTTGCGAAAGCTATCATATCTGCTGGGGCCTGAAGAGCACTGCAAAGATGTTGCATGGCACGCCGCTCCTTGCAGCCTTTCGTCGCCAGGAGCGTGTCTGAAATCTATGTTCGAACTCATGTTTGCAGCATCAAGCCTAGGGCTCTTTCTTTTTAACAATTCGGAGACTCTTATAATGCATTGTGTTTGCAGCTAGTTTAAGGCGCACCAACCATGCCATCCACAAGTACTTCCGACGCTTTGCCGGGGCGGAGGCCAGCGACGGCCCGGCGCACAGCTACACATAAGTGCAAGTGTTCCAAGTGCCCCCCGTGTGAGAGAGATTGTGGTGCCCCCCTCGTTGCGGCACCACCCATCATGCCCCATGTGTGTGTGTGTGCATATATATGTATGTATGTATGTATGTATGTATGTATGTATGTATGTATGTATGTATGTATGTATGTATGTATGTATGTATGTATGTATGTATGTATGTATGTATGTATGTATGTATGTATGTATGTATGTATGTATGTATGTATATGTGTGTCTGTGTGTGTGTCATATGCATTTGTTCTCTGATGTATCTATGCCTATGTACTTAGTCATTTAGAACGCTGGGCCGCCGGCTTGGCTGAGCAGGATTGCTTCGTGCTACAGGGCAGCAATCTGGCAATGACCTGTTGCCCAGGCAGCAAAGCAATCACTGCAGCACAGGTTGCTCAGATGGCGCCAGAGGCTGGGCGCGTTCCTTGTCATGTGGTTCAGCTGCAGCAGATGATCCCGCATCATTGGCTGAATCATGATTCGAAGCAATCAGTCATGCATCACTCCGGCTTCCGCACTTGGCAGTTGCAAAACGCAGCAAAAACAGTGTCAATGCTTTTGCGAAAGGGTAGTAAGTTCAGTTTCATACCCTGGCCGTTTGTCAGGTGGCGCACTACCTCGGTGTGCCAGAGGCTGTGTTCAGCCAGGCAAAGCCAGGGCTCAAGATTCTCATAGTCCTTGGTTCGTTTCTGGACAAGACAGTACACAGGGCATTCGGGGTTATCAATGGCATGATGGGCATGGAAGTTTGGGAAACCATGGCTAGCCAACTTTCTCGGCAAACCAGCCATGCTTCAGCAGGTATACCAGGTTTGCCAGCGCTTCGACTTCGATGGAAGTGGTGTGCACGCTGCTTAAAACCGTTGAAATCTTGAACTTGCAGCAGTCTGGAGGAGTTTTTTCAGCACAGGAACATCAAGTTGTGTGGCAAGCAGCCTTACCTTCTATGAGCACGGAACTTGCAACCGGGAAGGGGGGGGGCGTACATCTTCAAAAGGGTAGTTCAAGACACCTGCTACCAAAACGAAGTGCGGTCTTACCAGCGAAAGCTCCGCCACTCTGCGAGCAGCCGAGGCTGAACAAGAAGCAGTGTACAGCAATGTTCAGGCTCTCCTCTGCGGTGGTGGTCTTCGGGTTGGGTACAGCATGGGAAGGGCCCTGTTTGCAAGTTTTCTACCACGTCCTAGTTTTTGGCCCAACATAGCCGCCCAAGCGTTGCAGATAATCTCGCCGTGGTTGCCTTCAGTGCAGTAGCTGCAGTAGCTCCCCAGCATGGCACAGGACCATCCTCAGGCAAAAAAGAAAGGACCTGCCCTCAGATGGGGTGTTGAATCAGAATGAAGCAGATTTGCCAGTATACTGAACCAAAAAGCACAGCCGCAGGAGTGGGGTGGTAGCAACCTGGCCGGTGAAGTCCCTTACATGGGCTTGCGGGAAGCTGGCTACACGGTTGATCGGGACAGGGCTTGCCTGAGAGCAGCTTCCGGTGTCGCTGCCGCCTACTTTGTGTGCAGTGCTGAAACGTGCCTTTCAGACAGGAGCTTGGCCGCGGCACTTGCCTTACCTCGAGCTCATGTCCGATCAGAGAGAGCGAGAGAGAGAGAGAGAGAGAGCCTGGATTACAAATTTCACCAGCAGACCGTGGACTGTGCGCGCCCCTTGGGGCGGCTCTCCTCTTCGGGGGGGGGCCATGCGTGGAGAGAGAGAGAGCCTGGATTGGATTGCAGTTGGTGGCCGGCCTTTGTGAAGATGAGTGGAATGACTCAGGCGGTCAAGGCATTATGTACCTCTGCACTTTCGGGGATTCTGAGCGGAGCCTCGGCTTTCATCGATCTGTCGATCTGGGTGCCATTGAACTTTCGAAGCACATTCGAATAGAAGATGCTGTCTTGCGTGCTTTTTTGTAAGCACTGGGCGTCGACTGCCTCGGCCTTGCAAACTCTACCATAGCATAGTAAGGCGGGCTTAGAGGCGACAGCGGGGCTTTGGAGCTACGGTTTGAGGGCTTGGTACTGTGGGGGTTCCGGGCTTAGGCTTCGGGGTTCCCTAGGGGGGGAAGGAAGGGGGGGGGGGGAATCAGGGTCCCTATGGAATGAAGCAGAGATGGCTGAAACCGATTTAGTTGGCAGTGTAAAGCATGTCCTGGGTGTCCGGGGCGGAGTGTCCATGCCTGACAGTACCATCCAAGATACTGTGTCAAGTTCTACAGCAAAGAGGACCCTGAATGTGTTGCAAGTATGTGGCCCGTGCCTCATTCATGTACTGCATCGCCTTTGCGCACGCAGGATGGCGATCAGAGTAGTTTAACCCAGTGCTAATCTTTGAAGAATGGAGCGTTGGGTACCAAGTTGTGGTTCGAATAATCCTTGGAGCCTTGCCTCAGAGTCTCAGAGAACCTGCTTCGAGCCGTCATATGACAGCATTCTGATATCAAGCTGAGTCGAGTCAATATCGACAATCCTCCTAGTAGGCGCAGCCGACACTCGCGCTAGATTGAGTTGTGTGTGCGAGCGATAAGGCGCACTCTTCTGTAAGGTATGTTTCCCAGCATAGCTAGGACGGACCGTTCATTATACAGATATTCTGACCTCGCGCCACGTCGACGCGACCAAACGGCGTTTCGCAAGTTTTGTGTGCCCCCTTGTGGTGGGCACGTTTTGGTTTTTTCTTGAGTAGTGTTTCCCGGAAATCGTGATGATTGGGATGTCAATGTGGGAGACCTGTGGCTTGGATTTTTGACGTCGCGTCGGACGCGCGGCCCCTGCTTCCAGGTCATATCCGGAGATCACCGCTTGACAACGATTGACAACGGTCTGAACGTCCCTTGTGATAGGGCTGTTTCTTTATCTGACCTCGGCTTTTGCAGCGAAGCGCGGCGGCGGGGGTATCACTGGTATCACTCTCCGGTGTTGCCTTGTGCGGTTTTGTGTGGACTTTGTTTCTGAAAGGAGGCGGGTTGTTGGGATGACCCCATCTGTCCGCAGTCCCAAAGGACGCGGATGTCTCCGTTCCTTTTCGCACAGCTTGGCTCTTCCGAGCTTCGCGCTGCATCCGTCCATCCATTCATATGGCCCTCTCAACATATGACTGACATGACTTGCACATTCTCTTGGCGCAGGATAGCGACCAGGATGACTTGGAGACGATCATGACAGAGTACGCCCTGATGCGAGAACTGAGTCCACTGGTGTGCAAGAAGCCGGTGCTGCTAGCTTCATTACATGGGGCAGTGGCGCACTGCTCAAATTTGGCTCATGTCATGTCAGCTTGGTTGCTCACATGATTGAACAGCCTACAGAAGCACTGCTGGTTGCTAGCTTGTGTTCATGTTTGGCGCAGTGAAGGCCACAAAAACGTTGCGAAGACTTATGAGGCTCTGCGGGCATGATAGCATTGCAACAGTACCTCCTCCTAACTGTATCCAAAACTGTCGCAAGGTTGCTCCACAAGTTTGCTCGTTTCAATGGTGTCGTTCATACGTCTTATGCGGTGCTAACAATGTGGGCAAGTACTTCTGCCTTAATCCTTGTAAAAATACGAATATATATATATATATATATATATATATGAGGCAGGGACCTCTACGTATTATGTGAACGCTTTCTCTGGCTATAATAGCAACTCTACTAAAAGGCAATAGTTCCAAGCGACTGACCATGCTTCAGGGGCTTGGTTATGCATGTTAAATGCGTTTTAGGGTTTAGGGTTTATTGTTGAGGGTTTAGGGTGGTTTGGGGTTTGGGGTTTAGGGTTTGGGGCTAACGGGGTTTTGGGTGTTGGGATTGCAGGCCTAGAGTGGATTATGGCTGCGGCAAAGGCCGAAACCCTGAACCCTACTTGGAGGTTCCGTGGCAGGTAGAACTGGGGTTATGAGTGGGGTCAGTGAAATGATACTTGGTAATGGCCCTTTCTAAGGCACTTCTAACCCTACTTAACAATACCCGTGAACAAGTGCGAGCCTCGCCCCAGGTCACAACAGACCCATCGCCCAGAAAAAATAGCTTGGATCTGCTGCACGCCCTTCAGATGACCTTGCACAATACTGCTGTCGCCGCCACGGTCAGCATGGCCCCAGGTCACGACGATATTCTGATGTATTTAAAAGACTCATAGAATCTTGTAAATCCAAAACCGTATGAGGAATTGAATATGATTATATTGAATTCAATTGGAAATCTAGAATATTTCATAAATTAATTCAAGAATATCGGTTTTCAATTCATTCTAAATGGCATGGAAATAACCTGATATTTCAAATCAAACATATACGATGTTCTGAGATATTTACACATGTCCAGAATCCAAATATTCCAGAATCATTGGAAATCCAATATTGTTTGAGCAATTGAATTGTTTTTATTGAATCCACATAGGCAATCTGAATATTTCATGAATTTAGGAAATTTTGGTCTTCAATTCTTTGTAATTGTCATTGAAAATCTCATATTTCCATTCAAATATATATACGACATTCTCAGGTATTCAAAATATTCATAAAATCATTATGAAACCAAAATTCTATGAGGATGGGGTGAAGTCTTCCTACAAAAGCGACTACAGCTAACCCTAAACCCAGAGCCCGAAGCAAGCGACGGCTGTGGCCGCGGGCTCTGAGTCTAGGGTTAGGGCTTCGGGCCTAGGGTGAGCCGAAATCCGAAATCTAAACCCACCACCACGCGTGCCCAGGCCCCGGGTTTAGATTTCGGGGGCTAGGGCGGTCAGGGAAGGGGTGAAGTCTTCCTACAAAAGCGACTACAGCTAACCCTAAAACCCGGAGCCCGAAGCAAGCGACGGCTGTGGCCGCGGGCTCCGAGTCTAGGGTTAGGGCTTCGGGCCTAGGGTGAACCGAAATCCGAAATCTAAACCCGGCGCCCTTGGTGACCACCATGCGTGCCCAGGCCCCGGGTTTAGATTTCGGGGATTAGGGCGGTCAGGGAGGGGTGAAGTTTTCTTACAAAAGCGACTACAGCTGACCCTAAACCCGGAGGCTTGACCATGATTGACCAAAACCTGAGCTCCGCTCCTCACTCCCGTCAAAGCACACACCAGGATGGCCGAGGCGACCAAGGCCGAAAGGTTGGACGAAGGAGGGGGGGTTCGACGAAGGCCGACGTGAGAGGCCAAGACGAAGACCGGAGGATTCGACAAACGAAGGCCAGCAGGTCAACCAGTTGGTCTGCTGGAGGCTGTGCCCGGTGTTGCCAGCCCCAAGTTCCAAAACTCTCCTGGGCAGGTCTAAGGTCGGACCTTCATTTGGGTGGAACATACTGGAACAGACTCGTCATATAGGCGGAACATACTCGCGCTCACCGTCTTGCTTACCCGTCTTGCAAAGCGTGACGAAAACATAGTTCGCTGCTTCATCGGCATTAGTCCTGGAGGCCTTGAACCAAAATATTATAGTGTTTCTATTATTGCTTTGATTAGTAATAAGCTTCACCGCAAGTCATACTACTGCGCTTGTCTTGGGAGTAGGCCAGTCGCGTTACAGCGCTCACCTCGACGCAGTTCACTCGCCCAGCCATAAATTCATTTACTCCAACAGCGCAGCAGCAAGAAATAAGCTTGTAAACTTGACACAAGCTGACATACGTCCATGTCTTGTTTTCTGTTCCGCAGGCGCACTCGCTGTGCTTGCCGAGCGAGAAGAATCAAATCATTGCGCTCGTCTACGTTTAGAGCAGACTCCTTGGGTGCGCAGCCGAGTGCTGCGCTCCAGGGTGAACACAGTTCGCTTGCGGCTGCGTGGCTTTAAGGCAGCCGGTCGCTTAAAGTGCCATTGCTTCACTTTGCGTCTTTCCTCTACACGGCATTCCTCGCCTGGAAGAGAAGCTTTTGCAATGCAGTTGTCCTGCTTGCAGGTAGAGCACCAAGCAGACCACGACTGCGGCGTCCAGATGGTCGGGGTGCAGAGTCGCACCAGCAAAAGATTACTGGACAGTTGTCGCAGAGTCGGATCTCGACTTGCTACAGCGTGCCCAGGTCAAGATGTCTAACTTGAGTTTCAGCGTGCTTCTGTGCAGCTGCTGCGTTTGAGCAAACCATGACTTCACCTCAGCATGCAAGGCTTCGTTTGACGAGGTTCCAGACGGCAGCAGAGCGCGGATTCTTCTGCCTCATGTGGGGGCAGGTTGGCACAAGCGTCAAATTGCTAACACAGAACAAGCCTGCTTCCTCATGCTTTTTCACGCGCGCTGCTATCAGATTGCTGAGCTCCAGGCTAACAAGATGTCGCCATCGTAGGTTGTTGAGAAGCCACTCCGCCCGATCGGGATCGGCGGCGCACCAAAGAATCTCGTCGATTCTCTTTTTGGCGCCTGTAACCTTCCTGGACATGTCTTCTGGGAACTCAGCTGCCAGTGCTGCAGCGCTTCTATGAATTCGTTTCTGGACGTAAAAGGCTTCGCCGAATCTAGTTGTTTCACCACAGCGCTTGCCCTTGCTTTGGGCATAGCGCCGCTTTTGATGTAGTTTCTTTTGGTCTGTTCTGAAACTGACAGCGCACGATCTGCAGAATGACCTGTGTAGAACACGCCCCAATGACCAGCGGTGACATTGTTGTCGTATGCGTTGAACTTGCTCACGATCTTACGCAGAAACACAGCACCGGCAGTTTTCTTGCGCCAGGCGGCGTACCTTATGCATGGATCACATGCTCTTCTGACTTACACCCAGCGAAGAGCTGCGAGCTGTTAGTTGCTAACACAAAATCACACTGTTTCACTGCGACCCAGTGACTCATATACTATTGGAAGATGAATGGGATCCAGACAAAGGCATTTCAAATTCGGCATGATTCGTCGCAGGAGTGTATACAGTTTGAGAGAGGCACTATCTGACGCGACGCATTGAGTCTGATTCAAGCCTTGCAGTGGAAGTCTGTCGGACAGCGCAGCGCAAACAACTTCGGCTTTCTCAGATGAAACCGGAATCATAGCCAGAACAGCACTGCTGCACCCGCGAACAGTCAGGACCTTTCTCAGAGCGCTCTCGTCATCGAAGGGAGCCTCATCTCTTACTGCCTTTGCAGCTCGCCAAGGCGCCTGGCCGAGCACTGGCAGAGTACATTTCATCGTGCCATCTATGGACAGGTACTGAAATTCTCTCTTCTGCAAGAAAAATGTCATGGCATCGTTCTGCAGTGTCCTCAAGGCAGAGACGAGAATATGTCTTCGATGATGGGCCACCAATCTTTGACGTGACGAGGCATTAGTGAAGCCAGCTCACAGCCTGCTGCCATCATCGATACCAATATTCGCGGAATAGCAGCTTTGCATTTAGCGTTGCACAAGAGTAATTCCCGATAGACAACGTCTGCGAAGTCGACCGTGTAATAGATGTTCCTTACTCTGCGCAAGGTACTTGAGCCGTCCACCGTTGCTTTGTTCCAGAATTGTGGTCCAGCGCCAGAGAACACCAGCCGAATAGACCGATCAATGGCGTTGGTGTTATCAGTCAGCGGCGGTGACACCGTTTCCCGGAGAATTTCAGCACTTCTGGCTATGTAACAGGAACTCGTCCGCGAAGCAATTTGATCGCTGTCGAAAAGTGCACACACGATCTTTAATTGTTTTGTGCCACTGCAAACACATTGCCGTCGCTCGGCGTGGTAAACACGAATGTGATCACTGAGTCGAGCAGGGCGATTGAAGACGCGAAAAGGACATAAAGGGCACCGCCTTTCTCGATTTCTTTGCATAACGCTTGCGACTTCATTTTTCATGCTGGCCAAGAGAATGTCTCCGACAGTGACCATCGGCTCCTCATCTTCATCTTCCTCATACGGACCAGCAGCATGACACTCATCGGCAGAGTCATCGTCCGGTCCGGCGTATTCGCAATGGTCGGCCATTCCCTCAGCCCAATCACCATCGACGACATTAGCACCTGCATGTAGCTGCAGTAATATGGATGAATCATTGTTGGCAACTTCCCTTTCCGCGACCTTGCGCTTCTTGTCGAAGAGCTTGAACGTGACCAAGCTGGCACCGTCAATGGCATCATCTGCAAACTTGCGCAGCTCCTCCCGCTTCATTTTCATAACGAATTTTCCATCACTGAGTTCCACATTCCCGTCGTCTTGTACTTTGCATGACACGCAGTGCGGCCTTCCTTGGTCTTCGGAGTGCAACAAATAGAGACCTGGTTCCTGGACATCTAAGCCTAGAGACGGACAGACGTGTAGGCTTGCGAACGCAATCACGTCTGCGTACGACCGAGATCCAACTCTCAAAGCCTCGGTGTTCTGCTGCGAACTCTTGCACAGCTCTGAAATCACGGCCTGTTTCTTCGTTGGCAGCAGTCGGCTGACTGCAAGGGGAATGCAGTTGCCTGGCTGCAGCAACTGCTGCTCCACCTCAGTTTCTTCTCGAT